GCTGAAGTGCAGGCACGTGTAGCAAATGTAGCACTGCCAGTTGTCATTGGAGATTCTTAGTCCTCCTTTCCGTTCTTTCTATCGCTTTACGTATACGTCGACATTCCATGTCCATTATTGTAAAACCCGCGAGACGCAACAAAAACACAGCTCCGATCACAGCGTCCTCCATCCTCCTGTTGTTAATGTTGTTCTTCTTTTTTTCCGTTGTTGAACGCTGCGCACAAATGATGTCGCTGTCGACCGGCTTACGTCACTTCTTAGTACACACTGTCGGTGTGAATGCAACCCTTTAAATGGTACTGGGAAATAGTTCGCGCAAAATCGTCCCAGTACTTTAGTACTGTACATTTAGTTCTGGAACTAAAGCGGTGCGAAAGGCCCTTTTGAGATCAACACCCCCTAGTGGTGAACCATTCGAGTTTCGAAACATTTCGAAACAGTGTGACGTAACGAAGCTTCGTTTGCCAAAATCACGTGACCTGGCCGATTTGATATGTGCTCCGAACACTGATTCTAAACAAAAGATTCGCAAATGTTTCGAAGCTTCATGAAGCAGTGTTTCGAACGCGCCCATCACTAGTTTAATCGGTGACATTGTTAATAGATTTACTATCCGGCGTCTTCTCGTCATCTCCCCAACCTGCTTCCTTTGGTGTTTTTACACGTAGAAAAGGCGAAAAAACATACTGCATTGTCCAGTTTTCTCTCAGAAAGATAATCTGAGTTACTATTGCAAAATCAAAAATCTAAATACTGCCCTAAACTCAATAGCGGAAAAGCAAGGCAATCCTCCAAGTATGGTGGATAAACAAAACCCAGAACTCAACGCAGCATGAAATCGCTTCACATTCTCTATATCAAGCAGCAAAATGAGCTGTTTTATACAGCTAAGGAAGCCTCACACATACAATTTACAAATGTCTGATGCAAGAAATAATCTTTTTATAATAAACTATTATATTATTACTATTAAAACTATTAATAAACTATTTTAAATACATTTCTGTATAAAATCAGAATGTTTTTTATATGCAATAAAATCAATGTATTTCTGATACTGGTCTTCTGTGTTTGCGTGAATCTCTTCATCTACATGCCGCTGTTTGAGTCTTTACTATGGTAAATGTGGGTCAGGTTGACAACATTAAATTAACAAGGCAAGTTCAGTAACTCAAATATTTATTACAATATAAAATCAGAATGTTTTTCATTTGTATACACAAAATCTATGTATTTCTGATACTGGTCTACTTAGTATTCAGTTTCAGTTATTAAATTTAATAGATAATCTCTCTGCAACCACAAAATTAATTTTGATCTACAAATTCTTTATGATTTTGAAATATTCAACAACTTTTTTTCCAATCCTGTAATTTGAATATCAAGATACAGAAGTTTAACAAATGCTCTGTATCATGACTTTACAGTCAACTTTACAGTTGCTTGCATTTAGATATAAGCCTAGATAAAAAAAAGATCCCTTCAGTTCATCATATACTTAATTATTTACATTTGTTTTCTAATTAAATCCTATGGTTTTGGCGAAAAAGACTTTTATTTTGGTATGTCGATGTGACGTCACAAGGCTGCGCCGTGCTCCTCCGTCTGTTTCTGCTGAAGAAAAGTGAGTGCTTTTAACCATTAAAGTGTTTAAATTAATACCACTCGTTTAGAGAATTGTGTATTTAACAGCGAAAATAAATATCACCTAATGTAAGTTAACACTCTGATGCTTTATCTATCTATCAGACATTAATGAAGGATATTTTCTATTATGTAAAAGCATGAGCAACAGAAACGGTGCGTCTCATTTCGCTTCCAATTTCGTGAATCGGTTTATCATAAACACGAATTCAGTCACTGGCAACTAGTGATGCAGAAACGGAGCTTTTTAAACTCCGAGTCAACTGAATCAATTGATTCACAAAATGATTCAGTGATTCGAATCGCCGCACACTGACGACACACTGCTCCTCAAAACAGTGTAAATGCAACGAGAACAACAAACAAACATGTGTTGAAAACTTTTACAAACCAACTGCAAATGTTTTAATGAAAACAGTATCTATTAAATAAAACCTACCAATCTTAATACAAATATGAAACTTGTATATTGTGTTCTAAGCGCTAGGCTAGTTTTTGTTTTTGTCTTATCAGGTCATTTAAGTCCATTAACTCTCTGACTGACTCCCTCACCAGTGTGCTGACTACTGAACTAGGGAGCTGATTGAGACACAACCAGAGGTTTAGTTTGGATTTATATTTCTTTCTGTTCATTATTTTGATCTTAAACAGGACAAAGTGTCCAAACACACAGAAAATCTCCTGCTGAAGCGACTGAGATCCACATGACTCAAGATTATAAAGATGGCGTTTATTAACGAGGAGAGTGAAGACGTGAAGATTGAAGAAGCATTCAGAGTCAAACATGAAGATAATGAAGAACAAACAAAGATGGCATTTATTAAAGAGGAGAGTGAAGACATGAAGATTGAAGAAACATTCAGAGCCAAACATGAAGATACTGAGACACAAACAAAGATGGCATTTATTAAAGAGGAGAGTGAAGACATGAAGATTGAAGAAACATTCAGAGCCAAACATGAAGATACTGAGGAACAAACAAAGATGGAGTTTATTAAAGAGGAGAGTGAAGACATGAAGATTGAAGAAGTATTCAGAGTCAAACATGAAGATACTGAGGAACAAACAGGTTGGTTTTCATTCTCAAAGCTGAACTCACTCATCTGATCCTTATTAAAATCTCCAGCTCTACAGAAATAAATTATATTGTTGAAGAAACTCTATGATTGTTGTATTTTAAAGTGTCGTGAAATCCTAAAACACATTTTTTGAGATGTTAACATAAATATGAACAGGTTGCACATCAGTGAAAACAACAATAGCACTCATTAACCCTTTATCGGGCGAAGAACCATATTTGGTAACTTAAGCGACCATTCATAATGGCGTTTACACACCTCTCCGTGAGCTCGTAAAAGCACATGGATTTCTCCCAGCCAATCAAGAGATGTCAGTCTACGTCACTGATAGTAACACCATGACATCTGACCAATCAGGAGTTGCCCGCGCGGTTACAAACTTCAGTGTCATTCAGGAATTTCAGAAAGACGGATCTACGCTACTACCTACTCCGACACAAACATCAATACCAGTGAAATGAACAATGGTAAGTTCATGAAACTCACACATTATGTGGTTGAATAGATAGATGAGATAGATGTTGTTTGCGTAGGATGTCTAGAAATTAGTGAACGTTGGATATGAAAAATGGTGTGATCATATTTGATCATACGCCCCGTTCAGGTAAAACTAGCGCAAGCGACAGAGTGTCTATTTTTAGACACAGCCCGATGTGTCTAGTAAGCCATACTACGGGTGTTTTTTTTTTTAATAATGCATTATAACGTAGGACAATAGTATTTAATAGTGCATTGAATGTTGCCACAGGTTCATACAACATTATGCAGTGATCCAATGCGAAACTTATTTATTGAAATGATCAAGCCATAAATAGGGAAATATGTGTAGTTTTGGTCAGTTTTATGACCGCATAACAGTTTTTATTATACTTAAATGGCATATATTGGTGTTTATTTTTACTGTGAGCCTCATTACTGCTAAAATCAGTGGTACCACCAGTACTTACAGGGCTATTTTTCACTTAAATGCATTATAATGTACGACAATATTACTCATTAGTGCATTGAATTTTGCCACAGGTTTGTAAAATGTTATGCAGTGATCCAATGCGAAACATAAACCATTTATTGAAATGATCAAGCCATAAATAGAGAAATATGTGTAATTTTGCTCAGTTTTATGACCTCATAACAGTTTTTATTATACTTAAAGGGGTCCTATTATGCTTTTTCACTTTTAGTCAGTGTGTAGTGTGTATGTTTGGGCATAAAAAAAGATCTGAAACACCGTCTAAGCTGTTCGCCAATCACAACGCACTGGGACAGATAACCAATCACAACACATTTTGTTTTTCGGAAGGCGGACCTTCATCAAAGCCGGAACTAATCGAGCCGTTTGTGCCAGGCTGGGGAGAAAGGTACTTTAATAATGTAAATTATGTGAAAAATATTGCGTTTTTCGAACCACCAAGCATGAGAGCATGTTCTAGTACACCCCCAAAACAAAATCAAGACTTTGTAAAAGAGCATAATAGGACCCCTTTAAATGGCATATATTGGTGTTTATTCTTACTGTGAGCCTTATTACTGCTAAAATAAGCGGTACCACCAGTATTTAGTGCTATTTTTCATTTCTTACTATATATTTACAATCTATATGTCAATATTCTTTGTTTTCAGTAGATCTTCACCTCACTGTTACTGTTTTCATTCACAAATAACTCAAGGTGGGCTTGATATTCAAAAACGTACTTTTCTTTTGCAGCTGTCTACTCAGCTCTTCTATGGAAAGAGGTCGACTGCTGTTGTGCCAGCTGACCCCGCTATCAGTGATGATGAGGGCTCTGACGATGTGGCAGACCCCGACTTCATCCCACTTACCGACGAGTGCCCGAGTGACATGGGCCCCTCTGCCAAGAGGAAGTGTGTGTGGCCTGCAGTGGAGGAGCTTGCGGATGAGGATGACGACAATGAAGAGGAGGAGGACGAAGACCAGCCAGCACCACAAGCCAAGGGCCGAACAAAGAAGGGGAGGCCAACCACCTGGAAGAAGGTTGACCTGGACAACCAAAACCTGCCTGAGTACCAGCACGTTCCCCCTGACTTAATTGAGACTCCATATAATTACTTCAGTAAGTACTTCAGCCCCCATGCCATCAAGCATATAACATACTAAACCAACTTATATGCAACCCAGAATGACGTCAACACCACCTTCACCACCACTGAAGATGAGGTGAGGACCTTTGTGGCCATCCTGCTCTAAATGGGGATTGCTGAGCTGCCCTTCATTGATGACTACTGGGCAATGGAGACCAGGGTCCCTCAAGTTGCAAACCTCATGTCATCTAAGAGGTTCAGGCTGATGAGAAGGCTTGTCCGCTTTAATGACAACACCCAGATTCCTGGCACCATCGACAGATTTTTCAAAGTCCGGCCACTGTTCAACCTCCTGGTTACTGCCTTCAGGAGTGAGCCACAGACCCCTAAGCAGTCTGTGGATGAGGGTATGGTTGCCTTCAAAGGCAAGACAGATGGCAACCTGAGGCACTACATCAAAAACAAGCCAGACAAATGGGGATTTAAGTTGTTTGCCAGGGCTTCCGAAGATGGTTTTATTCATGACCTGGTGCTATACCAGGGCAAAACTACGCTGAAGGCCCACAGTGTCCCCATGACGTCTGAACAACAAGCCATGGGTGTCACCAGCCAGATAGTCTCCGTCCTGGCCAGCACCATGTCCTCCTCCACCACCACAGCCATCTTTGCGGACAACTTCTTCACCAGCCTGGAGATAGTGCGGTACCTCAAAGACAAGAACTGCAGGTACACGGGGACAGCCAGGGACACCAGAATAGGCAACCCTCCACTGAAGTCCATCAAGGATATGGAGAAAAAGGCTGTCCCTCGTGGTGTGCATGACTACGTCACCAGAGATGATGGGATCATGGCCCTCAGGTGGAAGGACAACAAGGTCGTCACTCTGCTGTCAACAGACATGGGGGTGGAGCCCATATCCTCAGTCTACCGGTACTGAGTGACACCAAAAGGAAGGAATCGATAAGCTGTCCTGCTGTCATCAAGAGCTACAATGCCAACATGGGGGGCATTGACAAGAGTGACATGCTGGTCCACCTCTACCGCACCCCCATGAAATCCAAGAGGTGGTACATGCGGATGTTTGCATATGCAATAGATGTCAGCCTCACAAATGCCTGGAACATTTTGAGGTCAAATGTGGTCTGCAGGGTCTGTAAGGTCCGCCTGTGCCTCAATGCTGAACGCAACTGCTTCGTCAAGTACCACGAAGCAGTTGCCTAAGTGACTGGACTAGAGTTATGACACATGAAAAAAAAAAAAAAAAACAATCCTAAATAAAAGAAAAAAAATTTCCTAAATAAAAATGTTGTCAAATTGATATGTTTCATGTATTTTTTTTATATTTAATATATGTTTCTTATATTTTAAATGTACATGCTTTTTTGAAAAAAAAAAAAGACCATAGACTGGCGAGGAACCATCTATGGTAACTTAATTGACCTTGATTTTCAACATAATTTTTATTTTATTTTTTTTAAGTCACAACAGTTTTAAAGTCTATTAATAACCTCCAATAACACTCCAGGGTTGAAATTTTGAATTTCCAAGTACTTCAATGAGTGCCCTATAAAGGGTTAAGGAAAAAGTGGTTATTTTTTTTTTTTCATTTTTTTGAGAACAAACTCTTATGATCCAATCACTGCACTGTATTATGCATGAGGTCGTCTTACAGCGGAGAATTTAAATCCCCTGGGGTGTATTCCAGAAAGGAGGTTCAACAAACTCAACTTGAACTCTGAGTTGACTTACCTTGAGATTGTAAACTCTGAGTTTTCGGTGTCAGAACAGCTGAACAGAGTTAGTTCAGTCAACTCTGAGTAGGTTGACTCTGAGTTTAGCGCATGCACCACGACTATGAAAAGCCATGATCAATGGAGCTCCAAAATTACGATTCACCATGGCAACAGCTCCCGCCAAAAAGACTTCCGCATACTATGGAATACGTAACTTTAATTCTAAATGAATGTTATCAGAGGTGAAATCTGGCAGAAAGGTAATTTATTGAACTAATATTCATTTTCATGGTATCCCACGGGCAAAAAGAAAAAAATGTGGCAGCAGAAAAAAATTAAAGGGGTCATATGATGCTGCTAAAAAGAACATTATTTTGTGTATTTGGTGTAATGAAATGTGTTTATGCGGTTTAAAGTAAAAA